CCAGTAGCTCCCAAATGCCAAGGTCTGTTTTCCCCAAACTCCACCAGTGTTCACATTGGGGCATATTGAGTACCTGTGCCAAGTTTGGTCCAGATCCATCATTGTTTGGGTCTGCAATGCTCTCTGGATGCAGGTGAACTACAACTCCAAAAGTCAAGGTCAGTGCTCACCAAACCCTTCCAGTATTTTCTGTTGGTCCAATGATGGAATTGGACCAAACTTGGCACACAGGACTCCCATGACCAAAAGAAAATACTGGAAGGGTTTGGTGGGCATTGACCTTGAGTTTGAGTGTTGTAGTTCACCTACATCCAGAGGTCACTGTGGACTCAAACAATGATGGATCTGGACCAAACTCTACACGAAGACTCAATATGCCCAAATGTGAACACTGCTGGAGTTTGGAGGAAAAAGAATCTTGACATTTGGGAGTTGTAGTTGCTGGGATTTATAGTTCACCTACAATCACAGAGCATTCTGAACCCCACCAACGATGGAATTGAACCAAAGTTGGCACACGGAACTCCCATAACCAACAGAAAACGCTAGAAGCGTTTGGTGGGCATTGACCTTGAGTTTGAGAGTTGTAGTTCACCTACATCCAAAGATCACTGTGGACTCAAACAATGATGGATCTGGACCAAACTCTACACGAATACTAAGAATGCCCAAATGTGAACACTGGTGGAGTTTGGGGAAAATAGAACCTTGACATTTGGGATTTATAGTTCACCTACAATCACAGAGCATTCTGAACCCCACCAGTGATAGAATTGGGCCAAACCTCCCATACAAAACCCCCATGTGGGCCACAGCAACGCGTGACAGGGGACGGCTAGTTATAATAATAATAATAATTATTATTATTATTAAATTCCATTATTTACTCTATTATTATTATTATTATTATTATTATTATTATTATTATTATATTTCCATTATTTACTCTATAATAATAATAATAATAATAATAATAAAATAAAAATTAAATTTCCATTATTTACTCTATAATAATTATTATTATTAAATTTCCATTATTTCCTCTATTATTATTATTATTATTATTAAATTTCCATTATTTCCTCTATTATTATTATTATTATTAAATTTCCATTATTTACTCTATTATTATTATTATTATTATTATTATTAAATTTCCATTATTTACTCTATAATAATAATAATAATTAAATTTCCATTATTTACTCTATTATTATTATTATTATTAAATTTCCATTATTTACTCCATTATTTTTTATTATTATTATTAAATTTCCATTATTTACTCTATTATTATTATCATTATTATTATTAAATTTTCATTATTTACTCTATTATTATTATTATTAAATTTCTATTATTTACTCTATTATTTTTATTATTATTATTATTAAATTTCCATTATTTACTCTATTATTATTATTATCATTATTATTATTAAATTTCCATTATTTACTCTATTATTATTATTATTATTATTAAATTTTCATTATTTACTCTATTATTATTATCATTATCATTATTATTATTAAATTTTCATTATTTACTCTATTATTATTATTATTATTAAATTTTCATTATTTACTCTATTATTATTATTATTATATTATATTATTAAATTTTCATTATTTACTCTTTATTATTATTATTATTCCATTTATTATTTTACTCTATGTATTATTACATTTATTATTTTACTCTATAACTGTTATTAAATTTCCATTATTTACTTCATTATTATTATTATTATTATTATTATTCATTATTTATTATTTTATTTATTATTATTTACATTTATTATTTTATCTGTTATCATTATTATTATTAATTTATTATTTTACTCTATTATTATTATTTTATTATTAATTATTATTACATTTTATATTATTATTATTATTATTAAATTTCCATTATTTCCTCTATTATTATTATTATTATTAAATTTCCATTATTTACTCTATTATTATTATTATTATTATTATTATTAAATTTCCATTATTTACTCTATTATTATTATTATTATTATTATTATTAAATTTCCATTATTTACTCTATTATTATTATTATTATTATCATTATTATTATTAAATTTCCATTATTTACTCTATTATTATTATTATTATCATTATTATTATTAAATTTCCATTATTTACTCTATTATTATTATTATTATTAAATTTCTATTATTTACTCTATTATTATTTTATTATTATTATTATTAAATTTCCATTATTTACTCTATTATTATTATTATTATTATTAAATTTCCATTATTTACTCTATTATTATTATTATTATTATTAAATTTTCATTATTTACTCTATTATTATTATTATTAAATTTCCATTATTTACTCTATTATTATTATTATTATTAAATTTTCATTATTTACTCTATTATTATTATTATTATTAAACTTTATTTGTACCCCGCTAGCATCTCCCGAAGGACTCGATGCGGCTTACAAAGGCCAAGGCCTCAACACAACAGCAGTAAACAACAACAATACAAAAGAAAGCAAATTAAAAACATAAGCAATAACAAAACATTACACTATTACACAATAAAAACCATGGCCGGGCCAGTGATGGGTACAGGTTAAAAAGTGCTGGGTGTGACAGGAGGTGTATTGGAGTTCTGGGCAAGTGCAATCTGCTTCTTGTCAGAATGGGGTTGGACTTTTCCAACTCTTTGATTCTATGATGAGGAGGTGGTGGTGGTTGTTTTGCTTCTCAAAGAGTTAGCAGAGAGTCTTAAGCTCTAGTAAAGTGCTTCTGGGACAAAGTGCTGGGTTATCCTAATCCAGAAAGGCACGTCGGAATAGCCAGGTCTTCAAGTTCTTCCTAAAGACAGCCAATGTGGGTGCTAGTCTAATGTCTTTGGGGAGGTCGTTCCAAAGTCAGGGGGCAACCACAGAAAAGGCCCTGTCCCTCATCCCCACCAAGCGCGCCTGCGACGCAGGTAGAATCACGAGCAGGGCCTCTCCAGATGAACGCAGTGAGCGTGTGGGTACATAAACGGAGATGCGGTCACGCAGGTAGGCAGGTCCCAAACCGTTCAGGGCTTTGTAGGTAAGCACCTGCACCTTGAATTGGGCTCGGTAGGTAAACGGCAGCCAATGGAGCCCCTTAAACAGGAGGGTTGACCTCTCTCTGTAAGGAGCGCCAGTTAACACCCTGGCCGCCGCCCGTTGAACCAGTTGGAATTTCTGAGTCGTTTTCAAGGGCAGCCCCACGTAGAGCGCATTACAGTAATCCAATCTGGAGGTGACTAAGGCATGGACCACCCCGGCCAGATCAGCCTGTAGGTCATAGGTTAGGGTTAGGCAACGCGTGGCAGGGGACGGCTAGTTTCCCAATAAATGAGATTAGTTTCCCAATTGGGAACGCCAAGCAAGAAACTTCCTGTGAGAGCCGTTTAGCAGTGGAACTCTCTGCCCAGGATTGTGGTGGAGGCTCCTTCTTTGGAAGCTTTGAACCAGAGGCTGGACGGCCATCTGTCGGGGGTGCTTTGAATGCAATATTCCTGCTTCTTGTCAGAATGGTGTTGGACTTTTCCAACTCTTTGATTCTAGGATGAGGAGGTGGTGGTGGTTGTTTTGCTTCTCAAAGGGTTAGCAGAAGGGAGGCTGGATGGCCATCTGTCAGGGGTGATTTGAATGCAATACTCCTGCTTCTTGGCAGAATGGGGTTGGACTGGATGACCCAGGAGGTCTCTTCCAACTCTTTGATTCTATGATTCTATGTTCAGCAGTGGAACTCTCTGCCCCGGAGTGTGGTGGAGGCTCCTTCTTTGGAGGCTTTGAAACAGAGGCTGGATGGCCATCTGTCAGGAGTGATTTGAATGCAACATTCCTGCTTCTTGGCAGAATGGGGGTGGACTGGATGACCCACAAGGTCTCTCCCAACTCTTGGATTCTAGAATTCTATGATTCTAGGGGGAAATCAGAGTGCGCATGCGCGGAAAGAGTCTTTCAGAAGGTCTCCCAGTCCTTCGCGGAGTGCTTCCAGTGCGCATGCGCTTGTCTCTCTACTTTTCTTTGCCTTTCCTCTCTCGCGCATGCGCTCTCTAGACCTTTTCCTTTCCAAACTTCCACGCTGCGCCTGTAGAGGGCGCGATGACTGGGACTGGTGCGCATGCGCTCTCTCTTTCCCCTTGCTCCCACTTCCAGACTTCCACGCTGCGCCTGTAGAGGGCGAGAAGACGCCTCTGGTGCGCATGCGCTCTCGCTTCCCCTTTGCTCCCACTTCCAAACTTCCACGCTGCGCCTGTAGAGGGCGCGATGACTGAGGCTGGGTTGCGCATGCGCTCTCGCTTCCCTTTTGCTCCCACTTCCAAACTTCCACGCTGCGCCTGTAGAGGGCGCGATGACTGGGACTGGTGCGCATGCGCTCTCTCTTTCCCCTTGCTCCCACTTCCAGACTTCCACGCTGCGCCTGTAGAGGGCGAGAAGACGCCTCTGGTGCGCATGCGCTCTCGCTTCCCCTTTGCTCCCACTTCCAAACTTCCACGCTGCGCCTGTAGAGGGCGCGATGACTGAGGCTGGGTTGCGCATGCGCTCTCGCTTCCCTTTTGCTCCCACTTCCAAACTTCCACGCTGCGCCTGTAGAGGGCGGGATGACTGAGGCTGGGTTGCGCATGCGCTCTCGCTTCCCTTTTGCTCCCACTTCCAAACTTCCGCGCTGCGCCTGTAGAGGGCGCGAAGACTGAGAGTGGTGCGCATGCGCCGGAGCGAAGGTGAGAGGTCGTCAAGATGGCGGCGGCCTCCTCAGGGGATGAAGCGGCCGCGCCGGACAACGAGGACTATTACTCGCTCCTGAACGTCCGGAGGGAGGTGAGGAAAGAGGCCTCAGAGTGGCCCCTTGGGGTTCAGAAGGGCCCCGCAGAATAGTCCCATACACACTCACATTGCCACAGAAACGAGGCCTACTGGGAGTCTTCAGGCCTTGGTGGCATTTAAATGAAAATATACAGAAAGGGAATCGTAAAATGTTGCCTCTTCTCCAGGATTGGTTGAGGTGCTGAGTTTGAGCCTGCCACTTTTGGACTCTGGCTTGCTGAGGCATTCCAGCGAGTGTCTCTGTCGATCTTAGGAAACTATGTCTTGATTTAAGTCATTAACGTGCTGGTTTTCCCTGTCAGAGGCGGTAAGGGCACCTAGAGCTTCTGTTCAACCATCTCAAAGCTCCCTGCTTGGGCGGTGATGGCACGATCATCAGCATAGATGAAGCTCTCTGTCCCTTCTGGCAGTGGCTGGTCATTTGTGTAGATGTAGAACATGGATGGAGCAAGGTACGGAGAGCTTGTCTTCAACCATTTCAGAGCTCCCTGCTTGGGCGGTGATGGCACGATCATCAGCGTAGATGAATCTCTCTGTCCCTTCTTGCAGTGGCTGGTCATTGGTGTAGATGTTGAACATGGATGGAGCAAGCACACTCCCCGTTCCTCTGTTTCCGCCATCTGCTTCTCTGGCCCTGGAACTCAACAAAGAAGCTCCTGTTCGATACCTGATTTCCTTGAGTGGTGATGGCACGATCCTCAGCATAGATGAAGCTCTCTGTCCCTTCTGGCCGTGGCTGGTCATTTGTGTGAATGTTGAACATGGATGGAGCAAAGTACGGAGAGCTTGTCTTCAACCATTTCAGAGCTCCCTGCTTGAGCGGTGATGGCACGATCGTCAGCGTAGATGAAGCTCTGTGTCCCTTCTGGCAGTGGCTGGTCATTTGTGTCGATGTTGGACATGGATGGAGCAAGCTTCGGAGAGCTTCTGTTCAACCATTTCAAAGCTCCCTGCTTGAGCGGTGATGGCACGATCATCAGCATAGATGAAACTCTCTGTCCCTTCTGGCAGTGGCTGGTCATTTGTGTCAATGTTGAACATGGATGGAGCAAGCTGCGGAGAGCTTGTCTTCAACCATTTCAGAGCTCCCTGCTTGAGTGGTGATGGCACGATCGTCAGCATAGATGAAGCTCTCTGTCCCTTCTGGCAGTGGCTGGTCATTTGTGTAGATGTTGAACATGGATGGAGCAAGCACGCTCCCCTGAGGCAGGCTGTTCTTCTGTTTCCGCCATCTGCTTCTCTGGCCCTGGAACTCAACAAAAAAGCTCCTGTTTTGTAGCAGGTTTCCAGCATGATGGGAGATACCAATTAAATTACAGAGAGTGTCTCTGTAGGTCTTAGGAAACTATGTCTTGATTTAAGTCATTAACGTGCTGGTTTTCCCTCTAATAGGCAGTAAGAGCACCTAGAGTTTCAGAAAGGTTCTGTTCTACCATCTCAAAGCTCCCTGCTTGAGCGGTGATGGCGCGATCATCAGCATAGATGAAGCTCTCTGTCCCTTCTGGCAGTGGCTGGTTTATTTGTGTAAATGTTGAACACGGATGGAGCAAGCACGCTCCCCGTTCTTCTGTTTCCACCATCTGCTTCTCTGGCCCTGGAACTCAACAAAAAAGCTCCTGTTCGGTAGCTGATTTCCTTGAGTGGTGATGGCACGATCATCAGCATAGATGAAGCTCTCTGTCCCTTCTGGCAGTGGCTGGTCATAGAATCATTGAATCCTAGAATCCTAGAGTGGGAAGAGACCTCCTGGGCCATCATCCAGTCCAACTCCATTCTGCCAAGAAGCAGGAATATTGCATTCAAATCACCCCTGACAGATGGCCATCCAGCCTCTGTTTAAAAGCCTTCAAAGAAGATGAGGCCTCCACCACACTCCTGGGGCAGAGAGTTCCACTGCTGAACGGCTCTCACAGTCAGGAAGTTCTTCCTCATGTTCAGGTGGAATCTCCTCTCTTGGAGTTTGAAGCCATTGTTCCATTGCGTCCTAGTCTCCAGGGAAGCAGAACGCTCTTTGATTGTAGGTGATCTATAAATCCCAGCAACTACAACTCCCAAATGTCAAGATTCTATTTCCCCCAAACTCCACCAGTCTTCACGTTTGGGCATACTGAGTATTCGTGTAGTCTTTGGTCCAGATCCATCCTTGTTTGAGTCCACAGGGCTCTCTGGATGGAGGTGAACTCCAACTCCAAAACCAAAGGGGAAATTGTGGGAAGAGCCAAAAGTACCTTTGTAGGAAAAATTCTCCCATTACCTTTTTCTCACCAAGTTTTTACTTCAAATGTCATTATTATTGCTCCCTCCTCCCTGTGGCTTCCTCTCACATATTTATCCATGGCTATCATATCTCCTCTCAGCCTTCTCTTCTTCAGGCTAAACATGCCCAGCTCCTTAAGCCGCTCCTCCAGAGTCCTAGTCTCCAAGAAAGCAGAAAACAAGCTTCCTCCCTCCTTCCTGTGGCTTCCTCTCACATATTTATGCATGGCACTCATCATGTCTCCTCACAGCCTTCTCTTCTTCAGGCTAAACATGCCCAGCTCCTTAAGCCGCTCCTCATAGGGGCTTGTTCTCCTGACCCTTGATCTGTTCCCTCCTCCTCCCTGTGTCTTCCTCTCACATATTGATACATGGCTCTAATCATGTCTCCTCTCAGCCTTCTCTTCTTCAGGCTAAACATGCCCAGCTCCTTAAGCCGCTCCTCATAGGGCTTGTTCTCCAGACCCTTGATCATTTGAGTCGCCCTCCTCAATGGCTATGAGGTCGGAACACTCACAACCCCAGTCCCAGTGGCCTATATATGAAGGGACAAGGCCTTCCTCTGGTGCCAAAGGAAATGGTTTGAAGGCGCCTGAGACTTCCCAATGTTGTTCAGGTTGATCTGAACATAAAGCATAAGTCATAATACATGGAGACTAGGACGCAATGGAACAATGGGTTGGACTTTTCCAACTCTTTGATTCTAAGAGGAGGAGGTGGTGGTGGTTGTTTTGCTTCTCAAAGGGTTAGCAGAATGGAGGCTGGATGGCCATCTGTCAGGGGTGCTTTGAATGCAATATTCCTGCTTCTTGGCAGAATGGGGTTGGACTGGATGATGGCCCAGGAGGTCTCTTCCAACTCTAGGATTCTAGGATTCTATGTTCAGCAGTGGAACTCTCTGCCCCAGGGGGAGTGTGGTGGAGGCTCCTTCTTTGGAAGCTTTTAAACAGAGGCTGGATGGCCATCTGTCGGGGGTGATTTGAATGCAATATTCCTGCTTCTAGGCAGAATGGGGTTGGACTGGATGATGGCCCAGGAGGTCTCTTCCAACTCTTTGATTCTAGGATTCTATGATTCTGTGTGCCCAGGGGGGAGTCTCTCATTTGGTCTCAGCCATTGGTTGAGGTTCTGTTTCCGCCCTCTGCTTCTCTGGCCCTGGAACTCAACAAAGAAGCTCCTGTTTTGTAGCTGATTTCCTATGAGGCGGGTGTGGTGGTAGTCACCCAGTTTTCTGTGTGCCCAGGGGGGAGTCTCTCATTTTGTATCAGCCATGGATTTGAGCCTGCCACTTTTGGACTCTTGCTTGCTGAGGAGTTCCAGCGAGTGTCTCTGTAGAGCTTAGAAAACTATTTCTTGATTTAAGTCATTAATGTGCTGGTTTTCCCTGTCATAGGCAGTAAGGGCAGCTAGAGCTTCGGAGAGCTTTTGTTCAACCATCTCAAAGCTCCCTGCTTGAGCGGTGATGGCACGATCATCAGCATAGATGAAGCTCTCTGTCCCTTCTGGCCGTGGCTGGTCATTTGTGTAGATGTTGAACATGGCTGTTTGAACAGGCATTTGACTAAGCAGTGCAAATGATTGATTAGCGGAACATGGAATAATGGATAACGAGGCTGGATTCTGATTCTATTGATGAGATCTGATGGATTTGTTATATTGATGTATTGTTGAATTGATATTTAGTGGTTAATTCATGTCAGGGCAACCAGTCTATTATATTACATTTCTAACAGAACAAAGCAAACAAACAGACATAATACAAAATTTGTGAGTTTGGTAGATGATTAAATGTCCTTTGGCCAGTCTCTGGCCCCTTGGAGTGCCTCTGGTGTTGCCGCAAGAAGGTCCTCCATTGTGCATCATGTGGCAGGGCTCAGGGTGCATTGCAGCAGGTGGTCAGAGGTTTGCTCTTCTCCACACTCGCATGTCGTGGATTCCACTTTGTGGCCCCATTTCTTGAGGTTGGCTCTGCATCTCGTGGTGCCAGAGCGCAGTCTGTTCAGCGCCTTCCAAGTCACCCAGTCCTCTGTGTGCCCAGGGGGGAGTCTCTCATCTGGTATCAAGTTCTGGGTTTGAGCCTGCCACTTTTGGACTCTCGCTTGCTGGGGTGTTCCAGCAAGTATCTCTGTAGATCTTAGAAAACGATTTCTTGATTTAAGTCGTTGACGTGCTGGCTGAGACCCAAACAAGGGATGAGCTGGAGATGTCTCTGCCTTTTTCCTTTCACTATTGGCTGCTACTTCCCGGCGGATGTCAGGTGGTGCAATACTGGATAGACAGTGTAATTTCTCCAGTGGTGTGAGGCATAAACATCCTGTGTCTCATGAAGAGCCACATCCACTGTTTGAGCGTGGTGAGATGTGTTCCACACTGGGCATGTATACTCAGCAGCAGAGTAGCATAGCGCAAGGGCAGATGTCTTCACTGTGTCTGGTTGTGATCCCCAGGTTGTGCCAGTCAGCTTTCGTATGATATTGTTTCTAGCACCCACTTTTTGCTTGATGTTCAGACAGTGCTTCTTGTAGGTCAGAGCATGGTCCAGAGTGACTCCCAGGTATTTGGGTGCGCTGCAATGCTCCAGTGGGATTCCTTCCCAGGTAATCCTCAGAGCTCGGGATGCTTGTCTGTTCTTAAGGTGAAAGGCACATGTCTGTGTTTTAGATGGATTAGGGATCAGCTGGTTTTCCCTGTAATAGGCAGTAAGAGCACCTAGAGCTTCGGAGAGCTTCTGTTCTACC